ATTGAGCGAATTTTATTAATTTTCGCGAAATTCGAAAAAGGGCCAAATTTTGCGGGTCCAAATTGTAAAAACTGTAAAACTGTAATTTTTTCTTGTCGAAATATTTTCGATCCGATAGATTTTGTAAGGTCTTTTATTTTCTTGTGAAGATTTGATTCTTTTCTATTTAATCAGTTTTTTTCCGATCGGGAGAAAACTGAAAAGAAAACTGAAAAGATCCCAAAAGAGTCAAACGTCATGAAAGGAGACGAAAATTTCTAGAAAATAAAATATATAAACCAGAATGGTGTGTTTCTATCATCTTATTTATATTATTTTGGCTATTTATATTTGAAAACCCTTCACTAGTATTGTTTGTTGTTGTGGTGGCAGTAGTGTTCGACTAGTTAAAATTAAAAACTGAGTCAAGTTGACTCGCTTTTTACTGTCAAACGATTTCACAAATACAGTGGTTTTCCATTTTAAGAGCGTTTTTCAGATGACACGGGTCGCTCAAATCGCTCTTAAATTGGAAATTTTTCTATCAAGGCCGGATGACAGTTATTTTTTCGTCAGAAATTTCAAACCTTTGCGCCAGAATGGACCTTGAAGAAAGAAGTATGGAATTTCGAAAAAGATCTATGATTTCGAATTTTTTGGGCTTTTTTGGAAAGGCAGATGTGTTCTAGAATTTATTTTCATAATCTTGCAAAATTATACCCGTATTCAGTCTATATTTGCATATGCTGAAGGGCGACCATACCCAGATTTAACGCTTTCAAAATAACTGATATTCATTTTGCAAGAACATGATTAACATTTTCTTATCAGGAGTTGATTCTCGTTCAAAAGACCCGAATCAATTATGGAAGACTATTGAGGAGAGTTTTAAATAATGAAGGAAAAACCAAGCCTTTTTTGGCATATGATTTACCAAACATCTTTATTTTTTATCATTTTCATGAAAAATATCCAGAAACGCTCTTAAACTGGAATTTCAACGGATGACAAAATTCGCCAAATCTTGACAAAAACGCTCTTAAATTGGGCGCTCTTAAAATGGAAAACCACGGTATGTAGATACAGAAAAGAGATACGGAAATTTCGCATATATGATATATCTTAAGCAGTAAGTTCGAAATTATTTCTTGGACGAAGATCATCCTCTATGGTGGATCGAAATATAACGTTTTCGTTTATTGAATAAACTTCATCAGGATACTAAACTTAAGATGAACAAAAAAGGAACAGAGGAAAAAGAATACTTTTATATTGAGAGAGCAGTGTGAAATTTCGAACTGAGTAAAACAGAAAAACAAGATCAAAATATTGCTGTTTTGGGCCACCTTGTCTAAACGAAGTCAACCTGATAAGGTATAAATTAAATGTCTGTTATAAATAGGGAGTGAACGGTGATAAAATGAGCATAATTCAAAGTTTAAAAAACCATTCCTAATCGATGTTTATGTATAAAACAAGTCATAAGGAACATTTCATTTCATTATTGAAAATTGATTCAACGTTGTTTTCCATCAAAAATGTCAATTTTCTAATACAGATTACAGTTTTTTCTCGATAACTTTTTATTTTAATCTCTTTTAAAGCTAGATCAAGAATAATCTGAATCTACAGAAAAAACGCTTTCAGAATCTTATTCAACCTCTTTGTGCACTTTTGTGCAAAAAATTCTAGAGCTAATTCTTTGTACAAACTTCTGGAGTGGGACTTATTGGGGTGTTCGAATCCTGATGATGACACTTTTTTTTCATTCCGTTTTTTCTCATTACATTGCCTTAAATTAATCACGTGACTTTACTTGAATTATAAAAAGTATAAGTATAAGTAAAAGTCCGGAGGACTTTTTAACTTGAAAACTATTGCTGGAAGACCTTTAATTCAGTTGGAGATAGGGCGAAGCTGACCCAAAGATGCCTGTTACAGTGGATTGCGCAGATAAATGCCCCCCAAAGAGCGGGCGAAGGGGCAGCATCCTGGAATCACTTTGAGCGAGTCAAGAAAGGAACAATAGAAAAAGCGCGGGTAAAGGGGCAACCAAAGCTGCAATAACAGAACGGCAACCAACTAAAAGTCAATTCAGTCAGGGACAGAGCGAAGCCGACCCGAAGGAGCGGCAATGCCATTTTATTCGATTCAGTCAGGGACAGGGCGAAGCCGACCCGAAGGGGAGGCAACGCCAGTATATTCAATTAAGTGAAGGAAAGGGCGAAGCCGACCCAAAGGAGAGGCAACGCCTGTTTATTCAATTCAGTCAGGGACAGGGCGAAGCCGACCCGAAGGTGAGGCAACGCCAGTTTATTATAAATCTTTCAAAAAATTACAGTTGGGTTTCAAAATCAAGAGGGCGGATGCAACTTTTCTGTTTGGGCAAAAAAGGTCATATCGATTCCTGTAATCTCCCAAATATCTACATAATCTCCATCGTCCCAAAGAAGAATTGTGAAACCTGCTGCGAAAATCTTCTCGTTTTTATTTTTTGCGGTTAATTTAATGGTGCAGTCGCTAACTAGAATTTGCGAAACGGATCAAAGATAAAGTCTTCATCCATGAAAAAGTAAGGAGACCTGAAAATTTATACGAGAGAGGAACATCAGGAGTGGTAAAATCGGGTGAATGGAGGGATATCACAATTTACAATGATTTACTATTATCGAGCAAATTCTGATTTGAAAAAGATTTCAAAAGAGACAATTTTAAATATGTTGAGTCAAAAAAACGTATCTTTTTATAAAAATACGCGCACATGCGGTACTTTTATTCATAAAATGCTCATAATCTTAAATTTAGGTATTTTTCAAAGATTATTAAAATCATACTAGATGTAATTTTGGCTATACATACTTATTGAATTTCAAAAGAGACGTTTAAAGATACATTGAGTCAGAAAAACGTCTCTTCTAGAAGAATACGATAAAGTGACTCACTTTTAGTGAGTGTTGCCAATTTTGCGTGCGCAGATTAGTTCCTAGACTAATATTTATTGATTTTAAAAAGATTTGTAAAATTGGGAGCAAATCGGGAGTTAATTGCGAGCTCCTAGCCCCGAAAACCTGTGCGAATTCTCCTTTCGTGCTCATGAAAATTTTTCTTCTAAAAGGGCTAGGGTTAGTTCCCGAAACATTTTCAGTCTAAGAGGTAAGAGCGAAGACTTGTCATAATCCAAAAATTCAAATTTGAAGTTTTCTTGGATTTTCCAATCTAAATTATCTTTTTTATTATTTGTTTTTCTTTCTTTTTGTTAAGGGTTTGACAGAAATTGATTTATAATGTTTGTTTGAAATTATAATGTCCAATTTTTTATTGAATAGTGTGTTAGCTGTACGTTACCATCGATTTTAAAGAATGTTGGCGACTTCAAGACGTTACTTCCTTTTGCCGGGATTTGACTTATTTTCCTGGCAAAAGGAGGGTCACTCTTCCAAGACGGGGTAGTAGTTCTATTGGCAATAAACTATTGTCCTGCCCCGGGGTTGGCGGGCGGCCCCGTTCAAAATCGTTTTTTTGGCCTATTTTTTGAACGGCGTTCAAAATTTTCGAAAAATCTTGTTGAGAGAATTGACTCAAATGGTTAACTGCGTGTAAGTAGAGGAAGTTGGCATCATATTTGAAGAGTTTTCTTGCAAATCAGGCGCGGAGCGCATATGAGCTCATTTTTATAAGGATTTTTGGAAATTTTTTGAACGGCGTTTTGAACGTAGCCGCCCTACACCCTGCCCCGGTCCCGTAACGGGACTCCCGTTTACCATCCCCGAAGTCCTCTTCTGTTTAACCTATCCTCGCCCGTTTCCCATCATTTTCCATCTTTTGATGGGTTATTTCCAAAAAATGGGCTCAACAGGGAAAGAACTAAAAATCTACCGGATTTTGTTGAAAGAGAGAAGCAACATGCTCATTCTCCGGCGCTTCCGACCTGAGTAAATTTGTGTCAATTCCTGATTATGTCGTTCTTTCCGTAAACGACCGCCCAATCGTAACAGAAGTCCCCCTTGTTGTTGCCCCGAACAATTAACGCGGGAGCGCACAAAATTTTTTTCCCGGTGAGCGCACGGCGCCCCTTTTTCGGGGCAAACCCCATTTAAACATTTTAGCGCAAAACCAGTAAATTCTTAGGTCAAAAAAAGTCTTCTACAAGACATAATAGACACACTGTCGACAAAATTTAGCCCCAGCAAGGTGGGGTAACGAAAATTTTCGATCATGAAAACTTGAAAAAATCGAGGATAAACGGGCTCTGCCCCGAAAAAGGGGCGCCGTGCGCTCGCGCGTTAAGGAAAAGTCAACTCGAATTTAAATTTTTGTTTCTAGATAAAATAAGCAAGAATTTATTTCTTTCCTTGTATGTCCAATAAAACTAGAATCTTTGCCACCTTCTTTGGAAGATACTGATTTATATACAGTCGGAGTCCAAAATAAGGGACACCAAGATAAGGGACTTTTTTGCTCAAAATGCCGAAAATCAGCGGCAGAAAAAAATCCAATTTAAGGGACTTTCCGAGATCAGTAAGCTTCTTCAGTTAGTTGAGAGCTGATAAAGGGTATCAATTACCTTAATTTCAACCAGCTTTGCCCCAAACTGAAGTGATTTGCCTTTCAGAATATGTTTTCCTCTTTCAAAAATGTCTTCTAAGTCACAAAAACAATAACTTCAGCTTATTTTGCCGTAAAAAATATACTTCGAAAAAACTTCTCAGCGACATATTTTTTGCTTTGATGACCCAATTTAAGGGACTTTTTTTCGAAAATTTTGGAGCAAGAAAAGTCCCTTATTTTGGACTCCGACTGTATTCTCTTTTTTAACATTACCGCAAAAACTGATAAACAAGCCGTCGATTGAGCAAGTTTTGCAAGAGCTGCTTCGCTCTATTATGCAGGTGGTTAACTGAGAGTTTGTTGCTGTTGGAATTCTTTTGGCGACGGAATAACAATTTTTATATGAAAAATTGATCAAAAAAGTATTTTTGAATTTCTAGAACTTATTTTTGAATGTTATGGAAACAGTAAAAATGGTCAGTTACAAAGGCAGTTCTCAAATGAGCCACGTTGTTCAAATCCACGACCCTGTTCATGTTCCTGACAAAGAATGTCACGATTTAGAAGATCTCAAAGCCCTTTTCAGGTCTTATTGGTTTCATAATTAAATGAAAAGCTCATTTCTTGATCCCTTTCCAAAGTAAGTAACCAGATCAAGATCACCGAAGAATGCCGATATCAATTTACGAAAAGCGATTCTCCGTCAATATATAAATATTTTGACCAGTAATAGAATACTTGTGAGTGTTCGAGTAGACAGTAATAATTCTCATGGTGGTACTAAAACAGTCTGGAAGCCTCCCAGGATCAGAGTTCGAAATTTTTGGGAGCTGGCAGCCATTAACTCTCATTGGCTCCCATTTTTTTGGGAATGGAAGACTTTGAAATCTTTGGGGGCAAAATTGAGAGCTGCGACTTTTTGAAAATTTCGAACTCTGCGCAGGATTCCGCTGACCAAAGCTAATTTCGTTCGAGGTGGTCCCGAATTTATTCATTTTTTTATCACTGAGGTGCTTCCAGGTAAATCACTACTTCAAAAAAAATAATTATTATTAGCATTCCAGGTGAACCAAAAAACACCACCGCTATTCTGCCATGCACAAGAAAATCATTCGATGACCGATTGTATCAGTTTCCAACTATTCCAAATCAATGTGGTGTGAAATCCGGCTGGAATCCGGAGATGCGCTCACTTTCAGAAGAAGATACTATGCTTATCCAATGCTTAGGTTATTATGTACGAATTTTAAATAACGGTTTTTGAAGACTGGATGGAATCATAGTGATCTTTATCAAGCAATGATTTGGGTACAAGTAAAAGGTACGCTTTTTTTAATAAGACATTATTCAAAAAACCGACATTATCAAAAAATTATGTTTTTCTGAGAGATAAAATTATCTTTTCAGTATTAATATAACTTTAGTACTAAAGAGTTTTAACCTTAACTGAAGGGGGAGGTCGACGAAAATAAGAATTTTAAAAACAAATTTCCCTAAAAACCCGATTGCGTAAGTTTATTTTGAGTTCTCGGTTGGGAAAAGAAGGGTATTAAGAATCTATCGGCAAAGAGTTTCGCGAGTCTTCGCAGAAATTTTGTGCACTTCTTTACAAAAAGTGTCCGAAGAAAAATGACGAAAAAATCAAAAAATTGCCAAAATGGCAATTTGGGGTCCACTTTTAGACCAAGTTTTCGACCATTTTTTCTGGTCAAAATTTTTTTTCTTTTCGCCGATAGATTTTTTCAACCCTTTTCTTATAACCTTAAAAGTCCAAATTTTTCCGGCCAATCAGGTTTTCTCGGAATTTTGTTCCTAAAAATCCCGATTATCGTCGAACCCCCTTAAGCCTTACCATAGTGGACCATTACTAATGGTTTTTATAGTGAATGAAAATTACTCGGATCAAAGATGTAAATCAATATTCTGCTACATTATTCTATTCTTTTTGCTCAGCGGTATCTTTGGCAGCATTATGGAACAATTGAATGCGTATATTAACAAGGACAAAATATTCTCATCTTGAATTATTTTGCTAAAGCTCATAATATATCAATAAACTTTGTTAATCATCATTTTTTTCCAAATATTTCGAAAATTTATTGAAAATATAAAACAGTGGATTCTCTTTGGTGATTTCAGGCATCACCGCCAGTAGGTGTTTTATTTGCAAGATCGTCGAAAAGAATGCAGTTTGGATCACGCTCGAAATAAACTCGAAATAAAAATGTCTTATCCCGGAAATCAGGGATCTCAAGATCCTTGGGGGCATCTTCATATGGAAGTGCTTCTTCATATTTCTTCGGAGAACAATCTATATATCCTACTGAAGATCCGGTAGCAGGGTCTCCTTCATGGCAAGCTCCGTTAACTCCGTCTTACGCCGAGCCTGCACCATCTTACGCTCTTCCACCTGTTGCACCGCAAGCTACTCCCCTTCGGGATCCAAAACCAACTAATCCAGTCCGTGATCGTAAGTCGGTGATCAAAAAGACAATTTGATTCATGACTCATAACTTATAAAGGAAATAAAAAACTCATTTTTTCAAGATTTTGAGACCCAGGATTTGATCGATTGTATTCCATAATCAATTTCTTGATTTTTTCTATTTCGCTTCATTCAAATTAACGCCGAAACGCACAGCGACAAATTAATTGGTATAAGGCCCTTTAATTCTTCATAACTCAACTTTAACTTCTCAATACACGGGCGCGCGACTAAGCGCTCAAAACACGGGGTCCAATTATTGGACCACAATGCATTATCCAGTCCCGCGCGGCGCGCCAAATTCAGAGTGTGAAAAACAGCGCTCAGGACTTTTGGCTCTAATTGACGTTTCCGGCGGGTAAAAAAGCTCGTAAATGTATTGCTAGAAAGCTTGAACCCTCTTCTATAATCATTTCATATTTATGAAATCTATCTTTTAATCTCGTAAGAATACACATCATTAATTTATGATAGTTAAAAGTTGTTCAAATTTAAAAGTATTAGAATTTTTCAAGAAATCACTCAATGAAAACGTTGTTAAAAAGCTGCGAGCGAGCGCGAGCGAGCGAGCGAGCGCTCACGCTTGCTCACTCATAGAAAAATCCTGGTATCTGCGCTCGCGCTCGCTCGCTCACGAAAAAGTCAAAAGAGTCTGCTCGCGCTCGCTCACTCGTGTTAAAATTCTGAGGGCCTCAGCTCGCGCTCACTCGCTCACAAGAGTTTTGACCATTATTTCAAACACTGGTCACGGAAATCCCGATTCTCGTCGACCCCCTCCTTAACGTATGAAAAATATTATGGACATATGGAGTAACTTTTTATCGAGGAATTCGATTCCGGTGTCAAAAAATAATTTTTTTCGAAAATTTTTGATCTTAGCTATTGAACAAGATTTTGAACTCGGATATTTTTCCCTTTTGAAAGGATATTTTTATTCACGTCGTCTTTCGACACATTTTGAAATTTGCATATATACTCATATTTTCAAAATGATATGGGTATAATAAGGAGAAAAAATTGAAGCTTAGCGTCTAAGAATCATATATTTCAATCATTTATACAGTAAACTTGATAGTTTCATTGTTAAATGATAGGAAAAGGGACATACCAATTAATTGGTACGATCTGCGTTTAACCTTGAAAATATTTTATTCGTAATCTTTGTAACTTCTCTCGTTTTAGCTCGAATCAAGAATAAATAAAAAATAACAAATTGACTATAAAATAATTTATTTTGGTCAAGCTGCATCTTTCTATCTTTCATTATAGGTTCGCCCAAATTGATCAAAGAGTGGTATGCTTCTCACTTGAGATCTAAACTTTGGTCTGTTTGGGTCTTCGTACTCGTCGCGTAAATTGAATGTCGTCAATTCACCAGGATAGAATTTCGTTAGTCCCCAAAGAGTACGTTCGTATGATGGTTTCGACACCTTTTCGAACTTCTAAAAAAAGACAGTAAGTTGCATTATAAAATTTGAAGGAAAAAGCGTTAGGCGAGAAAATGGGAAACACGCCCAGCGTCCCCGTTTGGCCGTCTCAAAAGATATTTTATCTTCCATAGATGGGCCGGGTGCACTAAATGCACCCGCGTCACGCATAGGAGTAGTTCTGATCGTCACGCAGAGGGTTAAAGATTTTCCAGTCAACTGAATTATTCAAGTTATCTATATTGTCTCAAAATGAAAAAAAAATTATATTTTTAAAACGTACCAGGGCTTCTTTCGGATTACCCGCGACTAAAAAAGCCATTTAGGTGTCTTTATTTCACAAAAATATTTTCACCTAGTAAAAGACAGCCCGAGTAATTATTGTAAAGCGTAAAAACGCTTAAAAGCTTGCGGATTATCCGGAAAAACGTCTCGGGACTCGAAATCGACAGCCCTGGTTTATACTCTAATTGAGACGATTTTCTCCTCGGATATATATCAGAACGTCTTATTCGAATTTTAAAAATTATTTCTAGCTAGATTAAACTAAAGTTTGACCCTAAGATTTAAGGACCCCCGTCAACAATTTTCGAAAAATCTATTTTCGGAAATTTGAAATTTTGACCCCTGAAATGGAATCTACAGGTCAAAAAACGATTTTGAGGCTTCATTTATTGGGAGTCTATCTCGATTCTAACACCCTCAAAATCGCGTTTGAAAATCGGACTTTTTGACGAAAAATGATGAAAAAGTCCAAATTTTGCTAAAATTTCAGATTTTTATTGGTCAAGAAGTGCTCCCAACAAGTTTTGATTATAAATTGAACTTCCAGGCTCGCTTAGAAGCCAAAATATGGCTTTTTTGAAATTTTCGATTTTTTGAGGAAAATTGTTGACGGGGGGGTGCTTAATAAAAAAATTTTTGTCAGAGTTCGAGCAACATTTTTAATAAGGGTGAGTGGATTTGGTGTTGATTTGACAAAAAAAAAATTCTGATTAACTTTCTTTGCCTTGCCAGCAAGATTTCTGTGGCATGTGCTGACCCAGGATTTCTATAACAGCTAGATTTGTATGGAGCATATTGACGATTAGCTTACCATTGGATCTTGAATTCTTCTTATCCACCAAAGTTTATTTTCGTATTGCTTTTTATTTTTATGAAAATCATAGGGAGTTGCCACTCTCAAAGTCGGACTCGGCGCTCGCATTTTCTGCTTATTGACAGCTGCCTCAGATCGAAATGGTCCTTTTGGTCTTCCACGAGATTTTATCGGATTTAGCTGAACTGGCGGTTTCTTTTCCTCAAAGACGTTTATCATGCAGGAAGGGATGATTTCGGAACGCTTTTTTTTATGAATAACCTTGCTTCTGTCCACGATTTGAGTCGAAGTGCAAGTCAGATAATTAATAGGTTCGTAGTTTGGTCGATTTTTTTCTGATTAAGAGTTTAGAATGGACAAAGGCAGATAAATAAAAAGCCTTTTGACATGGATTTTTTTTCTTTATTGGCTGAATTTCGATTATGCAATAATCGATCAAGCAATAAATTACATCGTTACCGCATTCAGCATATTTTAAAACTCATAGAAAACTAATTTCAAACAATTTGGGAGGTAAATTATCATTGCACCAAGTGCGCCGAGACAGTGCGCGCAGCACCACCAAAACGTCGAGCGCCGCCTCTTATTTCGGTATTTTGAGAAAATTTCAGGAAAAAATGATAACTTCAATTTTCCCGTGATAAACCCTAAATATGGCCTATTAATTATTTTTTCATTGATCTCCTATTAATGATTTTGAGCCAAATCCATTTCTTCACACACAAAAGATCATTCTGTTGAAACTCTAACCTAATTTGTTTTCTTTTTCGTTCTTTTGTTGAGCTTCTTCGAGTTGTTTCATGATTTTATACTGCTTGAGATTTCGTAGTGTTATTTCGTTTATGATTTCAAGTTTCTAAATAAATAATTCAGTCCATAAACATTGAGAAAGAGTGATTGATTCGGAGTTCATGAAACTATGTCGGCGAACCTCCAACGGCCATAATATCATATTATCATTGATATGATTAATATCCATTTTGGACATGGAGCACCTTTCGACTCCTCTAACTCCCTGTAATCATTGTCAGATAGTAACGAGACCAGGACGTTATGGGCCTAAAATTTGATGGACTTTCTGGTGAAGATCTTAAATTAAGGTCTCAATATAGAAATTTTGCGACAAACAACTGTTTGGAAAATTATTCAAAACAGGCATGGCGATTAAAAACAATTTTTCGAAGATTATATACATTATCTTTTCCCCAAAAGAGACGATTAGAACTAAGATAACGATTCTTTTGGGTTTTAAAATGAAGAATAACTAGTTTTATTGCGATAAATATCAATAATTCCTGTTGAAAAAAAACCAAAATTGAATCATAACTTAATATTCTTAATACACTTAATCAAAAATGGTTGTCGGTCGCAAAAAGTATTTCAAATTTCAAATTTTTTATAAATAAAAATGGAATGATAAGGTCTTTAATATAAGCCGTATAAAAAATAATAATATTAACGTCGGTTTCAAAGAATTGTAACATATGATTTCTTAGGGTTCAATGATTGAGTTTACTTACCGCTAAATCACGTTTCCACTGATAATATGAGAATTTGTTTTTTCGACTTGCATATCCACGCCATAGAGCTTGAAATTTAACAATCTTCTGGTCAAAGAACTCGCGTTGATCAAGAAGAACCCTCTTTTTTATACATCGCATCAGAATCTTTTTTGCCTTGACGGCTCCCATGAATCGACTGACAGTAGAGGCCGCTTCGACGGCGTTTGTCAGTCTTATCCTGGCTATCCTCCCTCGCCACCATCTCTGCATTCTTGTAGCGGAGACAAATTCTTTGAATCTTTGCTTTTCAGCAGCTTGACCGTGCTTGTAGATCTCTTCGACAATATCATATTTGTCCTTTTGGGAAAGATATTGGCTCATTTTAAACTGGCAAAATTATGCTCTATCAACGTGGAAAACAGGTATGTTCTAGAAATGGTAAAAGTAACCGGAATACTTTTTTTTACTTTGTACATAAATGAACCAATGCGCTAACATTAACTTTAACTTCTCAATACACGTGGTCGGTTCAACCGACCACGGCGACTTTGAGCCGCCGTCATTTCTGTTGTGATAATCCATTTGACCTGATTTTTGATATGTGAGCTAAGATGACTAAAACGAACCACTTTGTGAAATTTTGGAAGTTTTCTCAAAAGTGGTGGCATTTTGCACCGGATTTATCTTTCACTCTCCAGCCGTAAATCCAAAAAGTTTTATGCAAAATTAATTGTAAATCTTGATAGGTGAGTGTTCAAGCTTTCCAGCGATATGTATTGTGACTTTTTTGCTCGCCGGAAACGCAAGTTAGAGCTAAAAGTCTTGAGCGCTCTTTATTACACTCCGAATTTTGCGCGCCGCGCGGGGCCGAATAATGCATTGTGGTCCCCTCACCCGACCCCGTGTTTTGAGCGCTTAGTCGCGCGCCCGTGTATTGAGAAGTTAAACGTTTTTGAGCACGACGAGTAAAGATTGATATTAATATCAGTAAAAAAATTTAAATCTACTCTGATTGAATTTTTAACAAATTGGGACTGCTAGGTGTCGGGCGCCGAGGTTATTGCATAACCAGGTTATCCATTTTCGGGTTTAATTCCAGCCATTCAAGGCGTTACATAAAATTGATCATTTATTAACCTTACGCCGCCAAACTCGAATTTCACCCCCCCGCCGCCAAATGTGCCATATATGGCACATTGCAGTGTATTCGATATGCCAAATATGGCACAAGTCTTAAAAAGTCGGCTGGAGATGTTTAAAATAATTTTTTTTTTGTCATGCTTCCAAATGTTAGACATTTGACATTATAGGACATCAGACGACATCAAATGACATCAGATTGATGTCGGCAATGTTTATCTTCCTCATATAAGGGAAAATTCCTTACAATGCATTTTCGGCGGAAAAAAGTCCCACCGCCGCCAAATGTGCCAAATATGGCACATCACAATGCATTCTTGTGTCATATATGGCACACGAGTAGCGAAGCTAAATTCGCTATTTTGACGCATTTGTAGCGAAGCTAAGCCAACCAAATGCCTACCACGTGAAAGTTTAGCGAAAAATAAGGGTATAAAGGGGGGTCGGCGAAATTCTTACTCCAAGTAAAAAATAAATTACAGGCGGTTTAAAGTCTTGGTGCCATATATGGCACACTTGGCGGCGTAAGGTTAAGAAGCCTCCGAATTTCAAAGCCGCTTGCTTTACAAAAATTTAAGCGAAAATTTGGGAATTTTTGCGAAGCGAATTCTGCTCTCCAGTACGAAGCGAAGCGAAAGCGAATTCGCTTGGCGGTATAAAAAAAATTATACCGAAACATAAATTTGAGAAAAATTTAAATCTGAAAAATTGTCTCGGAGGGGGTTCGCAGAGAATACTTTTCATGTCAATATGGTCAATTTTTGTTTTCGAATATTTTTCGCTTCAAAATTCCTTACTTGGTAAAATTCCTTACTTGGTAAAATTCCTTACTTGGTAAAATTCCTTACTTGGTAAAATTCCTTACTTGGTAAAGAAAAAATTTTACCAAGTAAGGAATTTTACCATGTAAGGAATTTTACCAAGTAAGGAATTTTACCAAGTAAGGAAACCCCGTTTTCATCAATTGAAGCGCAAAGCGCACACTCGTTCAATAGTTTTGATTTCGAATTTTTTACTCAGTTACAAATTTGAAGGTGCCCGTCAGACACAAGTGGCGCGCTTTCTCTACAGAATCCGGCACGGAGAAGATTCTCTGTAACGTCTGAGCTCAACTTCAATGTTATCACCCACGTAACTCAATTTTTCTTTTGCACAAAAAAATGAACCACTATGAATGGAGCGTGTTTCCATAAGGAATCCAAATCTGGCTGCAGTAAAATTTTTTTATTTAAACGTATCCATATCATCCCGTACCTGTCAAAAATATGTAAAATTAAGAGTGTGCCTATGGCGTTAAAATACAAAAATCTCGCTTTCACGCATTCCATTTCTTTTCGATTGATAGATCAAGTTATTTTAGAAACCACAAAAGATTATATTTTCGTTATTATAATCAACAGTAAATATCTCATTTTTTCTTAGGGTTGAACAACAACAGGATTTTGAGTTGAAACAATCATGGTGGTTGGGTGAGTTTGTTTCTCGTGCTGGATCATGACGCAAACTCTGCAGAAGGCGATTGCAAGACAATCCCTAAAAATATATTTGTTATGATTTTTTTTTGACCTTACATGAGAGGTTCTTCCATAAGTCCATATTTTCCACGGATTTCTTGTCTCTGATCGTAGATAAGCATGAACGTGATCTTAATTGATATATGAGCATAATTTTTGAGCTAACAAAACGCTGTATTTACATTTTTTCTTCAAAATTAAGATGTTGGAGCTGTCCCCGTAGATCGGGCTGGCGGCTCGAATCGCCGAAGAATTCCGAAGCGACAAGCAAGATTTGGGGTGGCGGGCGCCCAGGTTCACAATCGGTTGGTTAACAATTTTGTGAACCCGATTCACAATTTCGGTCAAAAAGGTGACTCAAATTTACTGAAGGCGTGGTTTATGTCAAGGCACATAACGTCACAATGAGTTTCTCTATAAATCAGACGCGAAGCGCATAAAAACCCCTGATTTCACTCTTTTGAATAATTTTATTAACCGGGTTTACAATTGTGAACCTAGGCGCCCTACACCCTAGATTTCCGAATTTGCTATGGTATTTCGATAAAAAGTTAATTTTTTGAAATTTCGACAAAAGAACAAAAACCCGACTTAATTTGACGTAGAAAAATAACATTGTTATTCTTCTGCAAAGAAAACTTACACATGATCCAATGCACAGTGCAGCTTCGATAAAGTAGAGGACGGCTGGAATTGTAGCAGCGTAAGTCTCCACAATAACCGGTACCCAAAAGCTACTCAGTTGTAGAGCAGTTTCAACAAAGGTAAATAATCCAGAACGGGAACCAACTTTTGACCTGTCAAGCGCCATCTGTGTCGAGTGAAAAGTCAAACAGGGAAAACAGCAAGTTGCGAGACATAGAATTGGATCGCAGTGAAACAGCGGACTTGTAAATTCTGGTCTCGTTATCAATATTGGCTTCATTTTGTTCTTGTTGATAATTATAAATAATTTCTGATGTTGAGAAATCTGATAAATTGACTATTGATATCGTTTTTGAAATTTTATTCGTCGAATTCGACGACATGACATGTCAGAAATTGACTAAACGGTATAGACTATACCGTAAAGTCTATACCGATTTTAGGTAAAACCTGAAAAAAGGCAGCATGTTGCCCTTGTTGCCATTTTCAGGTTTTGAGGATTTGGGCCGATTATGCATTGTAAGTTGTTGTTGTTCTTTTGAAAGCGCGTCTCTAGATATGTTTTTAATGAATTATCCTGCGTTTTTTTGGCTCAGTCAGGAAAAAAGATGCGGGGAACCAACAGCAAATACGAGTTTTCAACGCTTTTAGTAAAAAGACACTGGATAAATTATCAAAATTCATAAATTTTTAATCGAATAATAATACATTTCTTCTGTTTCATGTACTCTGCTTCTCTTCTAGCGAGATTGTATCTGATGATTTCACTAACCAAAAAATATTATCAACGCTGTTAAGCACGCTGCGGGCCTGTGGCCCTTGCGCGCAAAATCTGGTAGGAAACTCACTTTTGCAGGAGGCCAACTTTCTCTACTTTCGCGTCCCATCTTTTGATCTTAAAAACTTCATCCTCTTGTCATTTATTCTCAATAAAACGTATTGAGAGGTAAAATTCGACCCTTTAGCGTGTGGGCGGCCATGTTTTGTGAACTATAGCGCGAAAAGAGTCTTTGATGCCTCTTATTTAGAAAAAAAGGCAAAAATGCCGAATTTACAAAAGTGAAGATGTCTCTCAAACCGGATACAGTACAGTGTGAAGCACTTTTAAGGCCGATTTTCGGATGACAGCGAATTTCAAAAGTGGCCTTAAGGGTACTACCTTCGATTTCCCCAACTTTAGCCTTGAATAACCCTTAACATGGCATGGATAGCGGGTATCATATGGTCTCTAAAAGTTAAGCTATCTTAGATCATTATTCTGTCAGAGGCGTTTTTGAATAGCTCACTGAAAAGTCAGCTAATTTCTAGCTTAAAAATATCATTGTTGCAAAAATAGACTGAATAAACGGCGAAATAGCTCGAAAAGTAGCTTGAAAACTCAGCCTGATTTTATTTTTTATGTGTGAATTGAACCTTCATCTTAAAAATGACAGAAGGTTTTCTTGATTGAAAAAGGAAAAATACCAAAATTAATTTTTTGAAAATCGTGTCTCTATGATTTTGCTACAATTGAGCATTTTTCAAAATTTGGCGACGCATTTTTGTCTCTAGAAGCTAAAATATCTTAGTTCAAGAATTAATGAACTCACCATAATCATCATCTTGTTCTGAGCTTCAAAACGAGCCCTTATTTGAAAGAATCGGACACCAAAAATTTTTTCGGAAAAAATTCTTTCTAGTACAGAAATCAATTAAAACTCTAATTATTATGAAAACGCTTGACGTTATGAATGAAACCTTCGGACCTTTTTTGGTCAAAATTTTATGAGGAATTCATTTCCGATGAAAAATTTAACATAACCGGTCATAGGGGTAATCGACGGTAGTACCCTTAAAATGGATATTTTTTGTCTCGAGTCGGATGACAACAAATTTTTTCGTTTCTTGGGAAAAAGATAAATGAGGGTTAATAAAATTATTTGGAACTTTACTTTCTTTCACTGTTCTTGGAATATACTTTCAACTTATTTCCTAAAGAATAGAAAAAGTGTTATTTTTCTCGCCCGAACAAAGTATGAATTGCAGCCTTTTTCAGAATATGTCCTTTAAATTGAACTCAATTCTGATTCTTTCTTTCCTTTTTTTTAAAAATATTATATTCTTAAAGCATGTCTTAAAAAAGAATCAACATGGCAAATGCTTAGAAAAAAGATATGAAGAGATTCTAGTGAAGACGTCAAAGAATAGTGACGTGAAGAAGACAATTGCTGAGCTTTTTCGAAAGAAAAATGGTTAACCCTAGCCGGCCAAAAATGGTTTTTCTCGGGTACCTCCATATTTGGCGCCAGGGATTTACCTGCAAATAAGACTATACAAATGATAAATCTCAAATTATATGGTCTTGGGGAAATAGATTAAAGTTTAATCATTAAACCCTGGAAATTATACGTTAAATATTGGTAATGAGTAAAAACCTGCTCCATATTTGGAGTACCTTGACCGGCTAGGGTTAAGACATTCCTCTGCGTATTTTTACACGGCTATATAATGATTATAGATTGAAACAATTGGAATCAAAATCGAAGTGTAAATTCAAACAAGACCGTAAGAAATCATCGTTAATTGAAAAAGTCGAGAAAAAAACATCGAAAAATACCAAAAAGAAAAATAAAGATAAAAACAGAAGGCATCACGCAGTCGAGGATAATGTAGGATCAGGCAAAGGCGAGTGAAAAGTATTGAAGAAGCCTGGGGTCGAACCAGGGACCTCCGTGTTCATGAACCGGTGTGCTACCACTGCACTACTTCTCCTGGGGACTTTGTCCGCCATTTGAGCCAGTTACGATGCCTAAGAGGAGGGGACCTTCTCCCACAACTCCCCCTAGTAACTGCTCAAATCACTCGTCTTACATATGCCGCCATAGGTTTTGGTTCTTTGTCTGGTGCCACGGTCCCCGTGCAACCGTTACAAGCCTACCAACCCTCCCAACCTTCAGCTTCTCCTGAGCTACTGAGTGACCCTCGTCAATCTCAGCTTAGGGTTTGTTTTGGCTACCTAGACAACCCACTGTCTTCACCAGTTTGTAGGATCAGGCAAAGGCGAGTGAAAAGTATTGAAGAAGCCTGGGGTCGAACCAGGGACCTCCGTGTTCATGAACCGGTGTGCTACCACTGCACTACTTCTCCTGGGGACTTTGTCCGCCATTTGAGCCAGTTACGATGCCTAAGAGGAGGGGACCTTCTCCCACAATAAAAAGCTTTTTCAAGTGACACTGTAACTTTCGGATTTTGAACTGAAATTGAAGGGAAAGTGGCCTTAAAGTGGATTTTTTTAGGACGACAGATTTTCGGAATTTTTCGAAAAAGTGGCCTTAAAAGGGTCGGCCTTAAAAGTGCTTCAAACTGTAATACACTTTTACTTATAAGAATGCTTGAACAAACTGTGAAAATTTCGAGCAATTTTTCGGAGACTTCGCGAAATACTCGTAATCAGAGTTCGAAATCTGAAAAAAATGGCGGCTGCCACTGTCAAGTCACTGCCAGCCTTTTTAAAATTGCAACTGCCATGGCCAAGTGACTGCCTAAATCGGCAGCTGCCTTTTGAGTCACAAATTGTGCCTGCCTAAAGATGTAAACTTCGATACTACAGTCAGGGCTTGCAATTTGTGGCCTTGCAAATGCACGTTTTTCGGCGAAAACCCGGAATCAATTTGCACTATTTAGTGCATTTTAGGGCTTGCAAATACATGGATTTAAGAGAAAATCCCAGAAAAAAAATCAGTGAAATTGCAAGCCCTTACTATATTCAGTGAAAACCCATTTTAAGGCCCATCCTTTTAAGGCCACTTTTTCTGAAAATCTCCAAAATCTGTCATCCTAAAAAAATCCCTTTTAAGGCCACTTTTTTTTTAATCCGAAAGTTACAGTTTCGCTTGTAAAAGCTAGTTATCATCGACTGTGTCTTCGGCCATTTTGAAGTCGATGGCTAAAAATTCAGTGTCAGCATTGTTTGTCACTTGAACTTGAAGCATTTCTTCCATCTCCATCGGAGTCCAAGGACGTGTTTCATCAATTTGAAGCGGGGAGCTACGACTCGCCGAGTCGTAGCTCTTCCATTTGAAGCGCCAGAAAATGCTTGACTAATTCTTGTTTGTCCAGAATATTTTCTGCAACATCGAGATCTTCAAACTGCTCGATTTCTTCTCGAAAATAATTCTTTTGAAGTAGTCCTTTGTTGATCCATGATCGCTTGAAGATTGCTGGGTTCAAGTGCATGAAGATTTCGATGGGGATTTTTGATCAATTTCTCTGATTTGTTGACAGAAAAATATTTTTGAAAGAATGAAAGAAAGAATCATCAAGAGTCCAATTTAAAGAACACATTTTGAATCATACTTGGTTCGGGCGATAGAAACATGCGGTAGACTCGGGCCTTCCCCTATAAGCCCTTATGATTCATTTTTGTCCCAAAAATATGGGAAAATTTGTTGTCATCCGACGAAAAGCAAAAAATATCCATTTTAAGGCCACTTTTGAAATTCGCTGTCATCCAAAAAGGGGCCTTAAAATGGGTTTTCACTGTTTATAAGAAGTTTTATAGTCAAACTTATTTCAAAGCAGTCTTTATGACAAATGCAACATAAAAAAGAAACGTTATCCGAGATGAAAATGTTTCTCTTGATAAAACTAAGATTAAATAAAATAGGCCTCGGGAATGAAATTTGATTGTAAGCGTTGTTTTTTTTGTGGTTTTAGAAAGAAAACTTCATATATAAATTAATATCTTTCGAAGCGGCAGTAGGTTGGCAGCTACCAGTCCTTGAAAAATGAAACTGCCACTGCCAAATTACTGCCAAAATTGGCAGCTCCCAGTAACAGTCGTGGCAGTTCTGCCAACTCTGCTCGTAATTCTACTAGTCTGAAATATAAGTTTATTTTTGCTCGCATTGACCAATCGAGAGTTCAAAGACTCAAATAGTCTCTAGCGAATTGTCTCTAGCTACAATTCCGACCCTATGTTTGTGGACCGAGTTTGTAAGCGATAAAAAAAAATTCTTGTCGTTCTAGCTTCAAGAATAAACTCAAGGTATACTTTTTTTTTACATTTTGGTATATATTATTCATTCTGTTCTGCAATTCTTAACCACAAAAAGAAATTTCTAATAATACGAAAAGAAAACAAAGCGTCTCTTCTGTTTAATATTTACGAGTTTTTTATGGTAAGCAAGAACTAATCCTGATTCTGGCACGATAACGAAGCAGTCGGTTGTGAGATAACAGGCTCCTTTTGATCGGCCATCTCGAAATTTCAAAACTGAGTTGCAAGCAAGTAAAATCTCCTTTCATAACAGTTAATTCTAGAAAAAAATCAAAGCGGAGCATGAAAAAGTAAAGAGAATAAAAATCGCTCCCTCCAAAACCCTTTATGGCTCTAAAAAGACAATTACAGAACATTAAGTAAATTTTTGGAAGAATTTTAAACAAACTTAAAAGAATATACTTTATAGCAAGAGCTGTCAATCTCGGAGCGCTTGTGATTCTCCGTGATTTTTTGGCGGTTAATCCGCCGATTTATTCGCGCTGATCTCCGATCCTCCGATCGTCTGTTTTTATTCGCGGGCGCGGATCTTCCGCGTTCGAGCCAATTCAAAATTTGAGCTTCATTAGCCCAAGAGCTTCATTTCTCCAAGATCTTCATTTGCCCAGGCTACCCAGTGAAATGAGCAAGCCAATCAAGCGAGCTTAATTTTCGCGTATCTTTTTCTTTTGCCCGGTTCTTTCCGCAAGGATTTCGGCGCGGATCATCTCGAATAAAGAAGCGTAATTTCGAATCAAACTCAAAGATAAAATCCTTCATTGTGATGTTCAAAATTTCAAAGCAAATTCTTAACAAAATTTTATTCTCGATAACAGGGTGGTCAATTTTGCCTACGCTTCTGCCTGTCTGTGTTAAGAAACGCGCCTGTTAACGGGTGAAGGGAGGAGTCGACGAGAATTTTTTCAGGGTTGATCGTAATTTCGCATTTACACGTAGTATGCATAAGAAATTTATATTTTTGGAATCTACAGATTTTCCCGAATCTGTTGAGTCAAAAATCATTTGAGATTTAGGGGTCGAAATTAACAAAATTGTAAAAAAAAAATTATCATTTTTGGTGCATAAATGGCCGTTCTTTGAGGGGATTTTTGACCGATTTTTTCTTGCAAAATTTTTATATCTAGTTAATCGCCGTCTAATTGTTTCAACCTTTTTCTATCCACCAGTAAAATCAGATTTTTCCTCTCTAGTCAGGTTTTCCCGCATTTTCGATCACGGAAATCCCGATTCTCGTAGACGCCCCTTAAATGAGATGTGTCCAGAATGTATTTTTTTTCCTCCAAAGAAACAATTTTTTCAGGTCGCGTTTCTGTTAAACGTGAAACTAAAGAAGAGATATTTCTTAATTAAGTTTGACTTTAAGGAGGGGGTCAACGAAAATCGGGATTTCCGTGACCGAAAATGCAGTAAGCAAAAGTAGCATAAATTTTGGCTGGAGAAAACGGTCAAAAATCCCGTCAAAGTGGGGCCATTTTCCCAAAAATGCACCAAAAATGTTTTGAAAAAAATTTTTGATGGTAAAATCGCAATTTTTTCGGAAAAATACCAAGAATTTGGACATTTGGTCGAATTACTTGAAACAGCTATGACCAACAACCAAACAAAAACCACCACAAGTAAGCTCAGACGGTGTTCTCTATAGAATCTTTACTACAGCGTAATCTCTGTTTTCTGGACATTTTCAGCAAAGTCGTGACAATCGTGACTCTCGTAAAATTTGTGACATTCATGACATTTTCAGTACTGAATGGATCTTTAATAATTTTTTGTTTTATTCAATTCATTTCTAAAAAATCGCAAATGAAAAGCGAAGCGAATGTACATAAGATTTTTTTTTTCTGATATTGTTAACGAAGACTTGTTACGTCAAAGAATGCTTCATATCCATCAATTACTTCAAGATCAAAACCGATCGATTGATCAACTCCATTGGTCGTGAAATGCACGTCCACAAATGGCGATGAGAGCGAAAATCGAGTTCCCTTGAAATATTTTGGTAAATTATCAAAATTCTTCATTACCGTCAAGTCGCCAGTGAAAAAATACTTCTGACCATCTTGTTTGCGGAAGATCAAGAAGTCGCCGCCAGTATCAATTTCACAAAAAGTAAAGTCGAAAGTAATTCCATCAGATGAAGAGGTGAATCGATGAGTTGCTTCAGTATTTGGAGAATAGGAACCTGTTCCATGTCCGTCGATGCCATATAAATAAGATCTAAAAAAATCAATTATAGTTGAATTTGATTTCTTACTTTAAATTGCCCGATGTCGAAACAGAGTATTCTGTTGGAGACTCATAAGAATCACCAGTTATTGTTCTTGTGTCTCCATCGATAGAACCTCCATTTGAAAAACTCGTTGCAAAATCGATAGTTGTTGGAGCGACGGCATTCTCGCATGATTGACTTTTTTGATGGTTTTTGAAATTTATAAAGAATATATATCTTTTCGGGTTGACTTCGTTAATAGATCATATGATTTTGTATCGAACGTTTTCGTTTATTGGATAAATTTCATCAGGATACTAAACTTAAGATGAACGAAAAAGAAACAGAGGAAAAAGAATACTTTTATGTTGAGAGAGCAGTGTGAAATTGCTAACTGAGGAAAACAGAAAAACAAGATCAAAAATGGCTGTTTTTAGTCGAGCGCCAAGGTGGCCCAAAACAATAATTTCGAGCCACTGAAACGTGATGATTCTAAAATTGTGAAAAAGTTCAACTTGTGCCTCGATTTTACTAGTGAAAGATGCTACTCTATTGGACTTAGTCTTCAAAAACTCTTCCGAAAAGTAACACCTTCTTTTGCCTAGTCGTTAGTTGGAAAACCATACGACTCGAAAGAGCCTTAGGCAAATTTCTCAAAAGAGTCCCTGATAAATACGATTTGTGTGATCTCATTTATTCCTGGAAATGTGACTGTAAAGCGCAATACATTGGTCAGTCCAAACGAAGAGCTGGTATTCGTTGGACTGAACATGTTAATTCTAACAACCAGAATAAAAATGCGTCTTCTTCCATCTTCAAACATTTTTCCACTTGTAAGACCTTTCAAAAAAGCTATGAAACTTACATTAGTGAGCCAAGCACAAAAATCTCACCAGTCAATACAAGACTAAAATCGCCCAATCGAAACTTGCTCTAGAGTCCTTTCACTCTAAAATCCTCCGAAAATTCGATACAAATTTTCAAAAAATGACTATGCTTTAAAATACTTTGATGTTCTGCAAACTAATCTAACTAATGAGAGTCAAAGGAGAAGCGCTGAACAATTTCTTATTTTACTGCATCGACCCTCCCTAAATGAACAATCTGATTTCAAACAGTTCAAAACTTTTTAATTTAGTCGAGCACTGTTTTGGGCCACTTTGGCGCTCGACTAAAAACAGCCATTTTTTGATCTTGTTTTTCTGTTTTCCTCAGTTAGCAATTTCACACTGCTCTCTCAACATAAAAGTATTCTTTTTCCTCTGTTTCTTTTTCGTTCATCTTAAGTTTAGTATCCTGATGAAGTTTATCCAATAAACGAAAACGTTCGATACAAAATCATATGATCTATCTATTTATAAAGAAATTTGTACTTCGTAAACGATTATATTTTTATTGTCTTACATTTTGATTTAATATGCTACGGAGGACTAGCTTTTATCGTGGCAGACAAATTGTCTTTGTTGAGCCCGTTTCAAAATTATCAAAGATTAATTCTTATTTTTATTAAGAAATATAGTTGAAGAATAAGTGAACCACTCGATGTTTTGAAGAAAAATCGAAATTGACACCAACAAAATAAGGGGTGCACTGGATTTTTTTCGGTGTAAAATTTCTTTTAGATTAGAATTGATAGCTTATTGCTTATAGGCTCTAATAGAGCTTATAGAAAGTGAGATTCCGGAGATTCACAAAAAAAAAATGAATCTAAAACCAAAGCTTGAAACAGCGCCGCAATAAACTCCGTGATCTGATATATAAATCGTAGTTTCGTTCATTTTAATGACGACAAAAGTTCGAAATTTGATGGCCTTATCAATTTATGCAGTCATTTGAGGTTGAATTTTATTTTTGACTTAAGGGTAAAACATCAAATCGGAGCGGCGCGCCACACTGGATCAGCGCCCCGCCGTGACCTATTTTTCAAAAGGCCGTTACTTATGAACGGATAAACTTTTTTCAAAACTTTCTTTTGGCTTATATTGATTAAAGCCTTCTCTCTTTGCATATTGAAAATGAGCGAAATCGTACATTAAAAAGTAGGGGAAACTGACATGAGTTGGTTAAAATCTATCTCCTTTCACAATTTTCATCCGATTTTTTTGAAACAAAAACCAGTCAGTAGAGCTCCGTTAGATCTAAAATTTGGTTTTCTCAGATCGAATTTCGAAGGTCTCTAGAATTTTATATGATCCTTTGAAATGTGCGCTCTCACGCTTCGCCCGCCTATCTCTCACGCTGCGCTCCTGCGAAAGTAGCGGCGCGGTTCAGCGCTTATTTCAAAGGATCATATAAAATTCTAGAGACCTTCAAAATTTGATCTGAGAAAACCAAATTTTAGATCTAACTGAGCTTTACTGACTGGTTTTTGTTTCAAAAAAATCGGATGAAAATTGTGAGAAGAGATAGATTTTAATCAACTCATGTCAGTTTCCCCTACTTTTTAGTGTACGATTTCGCTCATTTTCAGTATGCAAAAAGAGAAGGCTTTAATCAATATAAGCCAAAAGAAAGTTTTGAAAAAAGTTTATCCGTTCATAAGTAACGGCCTTTTGAAAAGTAGGTCACAGCGGGCCGCTGATCCAGCGTGGCGCGCCGGGCTGATTTGATGTTTTACCCTTAACGCTTAAGAGCAGCTGCAAATTAGGTAGGCTTTCATAAAGTGTGTCTATATTCTCAGAATAAAAAAAACAAAAAAGAAACTACCGCCGATATATTTTGAGTGAGTAAACTCTCATATCTGTGACAAGAATCCAGCCTGTCACAAAAAAGTGACTCTTTTTTCTTGCACTTCTTTTAACAGTTTTATATTTTATTTGATAATTTGAGAGTTTGCTATTCAATAATTCATAAGCTGTAAAATGTGTGTTTTGGATTTCTTTGAAGGAATAAGCGCGCCACCCTAAAGCAATTTTGCGCCCCGGAAGGGAGTTTGAAAACTCCGAAAGCGAATCTTCCCATCGGTATTGCGCCCCAGCGCCCTCCCCTCATGAGGGCCGACGCGCAAAAAATCAACCCCAAGAAAGCATCAAGGTAGAGAGCTGAAACTTCGGGACATAATGTAGGTCGAGCCAACTAAAAAAATTGTCATTGAAAATTTTTTGGTCTGGTCACGTGGTCACGTGATACAAGCCTCCGAAAAGCTAAAAAAGCTTGACGACCTTGAACGCCTGATCAAGGTCCATCAGCTCATACTTCATTAGAAACAGGGACAGGGTGTCAAATCGCGGGGGATTTTGAAGGGATTGCGCGCCACAGCGCCGTTTCGATCCCACGGTGTAAGGGATCGCCTCGCAACGAGAGGCAACGAAAAGGGAGCGCTCACAGAAACAAAGGGATCGCGCCGATCCCTTCGCGCGTGGGATATCCCTTCGCGCAAGGGATCTAAAATTTCTGAAAACGAGCGATCATGTAAAAATTCAACAACGATCATTTTTTAATGCGAAAATTGACCAACATATAATAATTCTTATCCTTTCAACGAAAAAACTAACCAAAATCATGGCATAATCAATCCGACTTTAGGTTTTTTTGTTTAAAATTTATTTTATTCATGTAAAAATTCACCATCCTTTTGTCTTCATCACAGATGGTTGGTACCTCGAGTTTTTTTCCGTCTTCCCTGTGATATCATCTCCAGCTGTTTGGATATAAACCCTTCATATCTGATTCTCGCAGCGGGGTATTACTAAGATACTATACTAATGATCGGAAATCAGCCCATCTGCAGAAGGACACCATCTATCCAGATGTATTGTCAATATAAAGTCCTCCAAAAATGAAATTTTTTCGTAAATATGAGTCAAAAACGACCATTTGATGAAGGTCCTTTGCTTTCTCCACCATCAACTCCGTTTGAGAAAAAGAAAAAAACCAAGGATGAGTTCAAGAAAATTGTAGAGATTCTAGAAGAAGATGAGAAGCTCATTTGCACTTCGGAGATCCATCATAATTACAAAGCAGATTTCAAACTAGAGAAGATCACGAAGTCAGACCAGACGCCGACGCCATATGTCATTTGCCGGAGCCAATTTTGCACTAATGCTGAATACAAACATAAGGTAAGAAAAAATTGACCAGATTTGAATTTAAATTAACCTTATCATGTAAAAATTAACCGGTAAAATTAAACCCTTTCAATTTAAAAATTCGATTTTAATTTTTCATGCAGAAATAAACCTTGCTCAAGTAAAAAAACTTTTTTCAAGAAAAAATCGACCCTTTTTATGTAAATATTGACCCTTTTAATGTAAAAATTGACCCTTTTAATGTAAAAATTGACCGTTTCCATGTAAGAATTGACCCTTTTCATGCAAAAATTGACCCTTTTCATGTAAACATTAACCCTTTCAATGTAAAAATTGACCCTTTTCATGTAAAAATTGTTCCTTCCCATGTAAAAATTGACCCTTCCCATGTAAAAATTGACCATTTCATGTAAAAATTGACCCTTCCCATGTAAAAATTGACCCTTTCCATGTAAGAATTTACCCTTTTCATGTAAAAATTGACCCTTTTCATGTGAAACTTGCCCTGGCTTGAGAATAAATAAGCCCTCTTCATTTTTGACCAGTCGAAAAAATTAACTCTTTTATAGGTTTTCTTTGGCATTCGAGGCAATTTGGCGAAAGCGAACCATGCGACTGACTACTACGTGAAACGTCACATCCAAGAACACCATCATTCAACCGCAACCGACGCCGAAGAGCTTGAGGAAATCGCCGCAGAAGTTGTTGCAAACGATGGTCTCTCGATTGGTGCTTTTGAAACCGAAACGATGAAGAAATTTTGCGCAAGGGCTCATCAGGCAATAGCGAATGGAATAAGCAGTCACAAAATTGTGAAGATTCTCAGGTAAAAATTGACCGTTTAATTTAGATAAATAAATTTTTAAGGCGCAAAAGTACCGTTTCCAATGGTATCGTCAAGTCAAAGCTGCCTGGTCTTATCCAGGAAAACAGATGCTGCTTGGTCCTTGATGGGTTCGATTGCCCTCGGCTAACGAAAGAAAGAAGTAGCAAATACCTCGGGGTCTTCATCGGGTTCTACGATTCGAACCTGCGAAAGACTCGATTTTTTCTTCTTCACTACGGGGTCATCTTCAAAGCAACTGATGCGAATGTACGTCGACAACTAGAAAACGTCCTCTCGGATTGGAATATCCTCGACTTTTTTCACGCAAAACGACTTCC